TGCCACAGCGAAGTCCTGAGCACTTATCTTTACCCACAGTTTCTGACCCCGCCCATCTATCACCAACCCAAGTCCCCAAAAGAAAGACGCGGGGTCTATATGACTCTGTTGATTAAAAATAAAACAAAACAAAATAAAATAAGCCCCCAAACCTCCCACAAAACATGAATAAACAAGCAAGAAGAAGAAGGAAAACAAATAAACAAACAAAAAAGAAAAAACAAACTCAAGCAGAGACTGGAGGCTGAATGAGGCTTGAGTACAGAGAAGAGCTCCAGCAGCACATTCGACCAGGAACCTCAGAAAGAGGTGTCCCTTTCCTTCACAGACGCCTCAAACTGCATGATCCAGGAGTTGAGATAGTTTGTTTTCAGAAAAAAAAAAAAAAAAAACCCTCTGGGGCTAAAATTATCAAGGGCTAAGAGGGGTTTTGGAGAAAAGGTAATCAATCATTAAGCATCCCCACCCTCAATGCACCAAATGAAGGGTCCTGGTTCCTCAGAATTCCTCACAGTGGATGATTTTGTTAATGAAGGGGTCGAATTATAATCATTGCTGCTTTCATTTAAGCCCTGCTTAGTTGTCAATCCTCAATTTTATCCTCCCCCAGTGAAATGCACGTGTTTAATTCAGGAAGCATGCCATGATAGCTTCAATACTAAATACTCAAAGTACCAAAGATAGCATCCCTAGGTAAGAAATAGTCATTGACTTCTTTTTTTAAGAATTCAAAAATCACCAAGTCAATAACATCTCAATTTTCTAGCAGCAGAGGTGGAATCGTACCATATAAATAATTGGATCTTTTCCAACATTTCTGGATGCAAAATTCTAATCCCTGCACTTAAAATAGCCCCATTTGAATGAACCCTATGTAGAAATTATTCAAATATTGAGTTTATGTATGTTTCAGAGGTACTACATTTGAATGATATTTGTAAATTATTACTTGACTTAAGTCTCGGGTAAGAATAATGAGATTTGGGCCAATAAATTAAGGTGGTGCAGTAAACCAAAGGGAAGGAAGATTAAAAAGCACATTTCTCCTGACTATTGCAAAGTATTTTTATTTTCATGTTGTACTTGTTTCATAGAATACATTTTCACAGACTACATATAAATAAATACTGTTTAACATAAACAAAGAAAAACAAGAATTTCCCTGAATTTTAATCATGAAAATAAACGAAGATGACTTTATTTACTTAAGATCAAAAAAACATTAAAGAAACCAAGAAAGTAAAGCTATATTTAAGGGAAAAATGGGATATTTATGACTTTTCTAGGATGTCAGATTGAAGTTTTAACCTTCAAGGTCCATCATGCAGGAAAGTGTGGAATCCTGGGCTCTCCTTTAGGCACAGTGGTCTCAGAGGTCAGTTAAACAATCAGTGTCTCTGCTCTAAGCTGCCACGGAAGAAAAGTCAGTTTGAGAATGAGCCCAGCTCTGTCTCAGACTCACCTACAACCTGTGTGAGGGATGAGGCAGAGGCCAGTGTATAGCAAGCAGCAGTGTTGTCTGACACTAGTTGTGGCTTACTCTCTCGTTCTTTGCAATCACACCAGGAAATATTCATGGGCTTCCTGCATGGCAGCTACCAGAATAGCTTGTGTTACTCATGGTATCCAAGTGTTTCTTGGCTAATGCAAAACCTAATAGAACCATTGGGTCTCATCTATTTCTTTTCTGAGAGTATAAATTTAGATACATAATGGGAGCAGAATAACTTAAAGCCTCTCTAATCAAGAATTCTAAGAAGCTTTTTTCCTTCGGTGTTGTACAAATTCTGTTCATTATTTTTCTTTTTTAAAATTAAAAATAAAAGAACTCATTTGTACTAAAGAATAGTCATTGAAGCAATATTTTTTCACTCAAATGACACTATGAAAAACATGCAGGGAAGAACTTACTTTACTTACCAACAATCTAATTTATATAATTTTTCATACTAATAGCACCTAAGGACAATGCAATAGTTGACTCTTTGTAATGAATAAATGTCATAAATTAGTTAAAAAGATTTAAGAAAATATTGAATTTTTCCCTGTTGAAAGAGGTATCTTACATTTTTAAAAATCCTGCACAAAACTTACAAAAGTACAAATACTACAGGAAACCCTGAGGCAGGAATTGATCTTTATTAAATTTGAGAGGTTCTTTTTAAAAGTCCTTTTTATTTAAATATATTAAGATAAACAAAGCTTTTATTTTAATAATTTTAAATTAAATAGGCAATAAAGAAATATTCTTACTGATTACTTTTTCTGACCATTTAATCTTCCTGATCTATCCTGCATAGCCTTTACACTTCTAGCTCTAATCTTTGGGCTTTTCATCTAGAAAAGGGAGAAAATAATCACTTGTTCATGGTATTTCACAGAAGAAAAAATAAGTGCTTAAAAATAGGCAGCTCAGGTAATTTAGCTTGAACCAACAAACACCTAAGCAATAATGAGACTGCCCTCAGGCTACCTGACTTCAGAATCAGAATTCATAGCATAGACCTGCTGTCTTTCAACCCTGTCACCTTTCTTAAAACCCTTCTCCACAACCTTTAGCCACAAGGGAGCATGGGATGGGCCAAGTGTCTGGATGCTAGCCAGGTCTGGTCCCACAGGCCATGAGTAGAGGGGTAGATAAGGGCCCTGCAACTGTGTCTGAGGGCGGAAGAGGAGGATCAACCCCATACTCTGACTATAAGAGAAGACAGGTGTCCACACTCTGAACTGGATGGAGGATGGGACATACCCATAGGGTTCATTTTAGGGAGGGGCATTTTCCCCAGACTCTTGGCCTTGGGAGACCTAGTCCTTATTCCTTGGACTTTGACAATGTCTGAGGCTCACATCCACGCCCTGATGATGGGTCACTGTCTTCACTCTATAGATCCATAGCAAATTTCCCTTGAAAACCTAGAGCGCTATCTCCGTTGATTAAAAAACTCTTAACTCAAGGACTATTTTTCCTTGAGTAGCCACCCACTTCTTGAAGAGTCATTGGTCTTCTCCTTCAGTGATCAAACATCTTCTCCCCCAACCTAAAATCCTGTCTTTCTAAGCCATAGATTCTAGACCAGGAAGTCTTAATCTGGGGTCCACAGAACACTAAGAAAGCTGGTGAAATTTTATGGGAAAAATAAGTCATCTTTCTTTTTACTAACTTTAACTGAAATTTAGCATTTTCTTACATTTTGAATATGAGTAACAAACTAGTTCCATACCAGCAGTACCTCTTTCCTATTTATAGAGAGAAATAACAGATATTTCATATTGTACTGTAGTTATACAAATGTTTTAAATAACATTTATTTGCATCACTACTTGGATATTACGGTAGTTGTGGATTCACTCCTAGCTCTAATGAATTCATAAAGAAGCATATGTAATACTATACTGTAAATTTGATATTTCGATGTTTGATAACTATATTTCAATATAACTGACCTTCTTAGCAATCCAATGTATATTATTTTATAGAATAAAATATACACATTATTTGGTAATTACAGTCTGTGAGACTAGTCCATGATACGTAAAAAGGTTAGGAATTCCTGGTTACATCTATGTTGGCCATTGGTTAGCATGTATGCCCAGAAAGATATTCTTGATTAAATGCTAAAAAAGAGTGGTATAGGAATTCAGAGAGAGTCATTAAATCAGGAAAAGACTTCCAGAGTCATAGAAGAAAGACAAGGGAAATATTCTTACGTGACAGAAGTGTTTTTATCACACCTACAAGAAAAGATAATAAATGCCAAGGCAGGGTTATAGATAAGATAAGCGCTCTCGGTAAACTTGGAATATATGGAGACCCAGAGAGCACTAAGCTGAAAGCATCTGAGGCACCAAAATGCAAGAAATTGTAGGAAGAGAAACTTCCAGGTCTGAAAGGGGTGAAGAGAGCACTAGAGGAAATAAAAGATAGAAATATACAGAGAATGAGCCAGAAGCAGGAACTGGGCAGGAGTCACTAGACTATAGTGATGTAGGGGAACTTTTCTAGAATTAACAAAGATGGAATGTGGCAACTCTGCTTTCATTATTCCCTTAATCATCAATTCTGTCATCTCGACAGTTACACAACTTCTGTGATCTTGTTCCTTTATTCTAAAAAACAAGGATAAACGCAATTATATTACTAGGTGCAGATTAAGTGATATTGTACATAGAATATTCTTCATGCACATGGGTGGAATTGAATGCATATAAATGCCAACTTAGAGTTTCTGCTCCAACACGTAAAGAGCTAGCAAGTCATCACAAACAGGACATCGAAAACAAGGGCGTTAAAGGAATTTGAAGCCTCTGGCATGGGTGGCTACAGCAAACACTAAATTTAACCTGATTCCTAGTCTGATTAATATATCAATTTGCCTGTTCCTCAGTTTTATGACAAATCCTGGTTTTAAATAATCTCATTCTCCTCACCTGTCTCACTGGTGAGAAGTATAGGCAGAACAGACAAGCACGAAGAGAGACCAGGGCAACACCCCCAAAGTAGCCAGTTTCCTTTATGGTCACAAAAAATGGAAAGAGAAAGTGTTCCCTGGAAGCACTGGTGTAATCTTGTTCTTTCTGTCCTCTCTAGGGCATCACGCCTTGGTATTACATTCAGGGATTAAGGCTTTAATCTCATCGTGAATTTTTTACTGCTCTGTTCAGTTTCCATGTATGGCTCTTGTCTCCCTAGAAAAACTAAGATCCAGAAGGTTTGGTTACAATTCACTCCTCAAAAGAGCTAGAACTGGATGAGATTCTGTGTCAACAGCTTTAACTTTTTTTTTTTTTTTCTTGGCCCTGTTCTTGTCATTGTCACCATCCTTAACCAAAATATTAAACCTGTTTTTGCTGAAATTTGTTTTGTATCTGAGGCTTAGCTCCTTTCTATGGGGATTTCTTGGAAAAAGGGGAATGGGAGAGATGGTTGTCATTGTGGAAGATGATGTGGGGAGAGAAGAGAGTGAAAAAGGGGAATGAATGAAAAATTATGCTGTGCATAGAGGAGAAGCCAACGAAAGAAGGGTCTCAGTATCCAATATACATTATCACAATGTGTACATACTTCACTGCTGGCCCTCTCCTGACCTGGCTCCACCCCTGATGGACAGAGCTCATCCTTGACCAATGACTTCTAACTAACACGTAGAGCAAGGGGCCAGAACATCAGCAGTGGAGAATAAAAGGCCACACAGAGAAGCAGCAGCACATACCGGCTTCTGACACAGCTGTGATCGCCAGCAAGCCCCCAGACTTGACACCATGGTGCATTTCACTGCTGAGGAGAAATCTACCATCCTGAGTGTGTGGGGCAAGGTGAACGTGGAAGAGGCTGGAGGCGAAGCTTTGGGCAGGTAAGCATTGTTTCTTGATGCATGGGAATGGAGGGGGAATATAACCCTGGCAAATTGACCAGGAAAGTCCTTAAGATTTTGAGCATCTCTAATTTTCCATTTGCTATGGTGCCATCTCACAGGCTCCTCGTTGTCTACCCCTGGACCCAGAGATTCTTTGATAACTTTGGAAACTTGTCCTCCCCCTCTGCCATCATGGGCAACCCCAAGGTCAAGGCCCATGGCAAGAAGGTGCTGACCTCCTTTGGAGAGGCTGTCAAAAACATGGACAACCTCAAGGGCGCCTTTGCTAAACTGAGTGAGCTACATTGTGACAAACTGCATGTGGATCCTGAGAACTTCAAGGTGAGTGCAGGAGATGTTCATGTGCTTTTTTTGGCTTTTTACTTTGAGACAATAATGGAAGCTTAGACTGTAATTAGAAAGATCAACAAAGATCTCAGAAACCAACAGCTTGGTGTTAGAAGGACAGACTTCCAGTGGGCATGACCAAGACCAATTTGATTCAGAGCTAATGACAGTAAAGGGATACTAGCAGGCTGAATTTACTTAAAATTTTTCAGGAAATTTTGTCAGACTGGATGTTTTTATCCTGGAGAATAACATTATATAATAACAGACTTCTGCAAGGATAAATTCAATTTGGATTTTGGTAGATGAAGGCCTGTCTCAAAGAAGGACAAATTCCTTACTTTACGTGGGTCCTGATAATCTAAGTTTAGAAAAAGATTTTGGTGAAAAATTTAAAGATAGATTTTCTCAAAGAAAAATACAACAAATTCTCTAAAATATGTTACATTTTCTGTCAGTATTGTGACCAATGGAGACTTGTTCCTGCATTGGTTGGAGATTTGAAACTCCCACTGAGAACCTTTGCAGCACTGAAATCCTATGTTTACAGAAATTAGACAATTGGTAAATAAGAAAGGGAGAGAGGAAGGCAAATAACAATGGCGAAATGGAGAGAGAGTATGAAGAAATAGGTAGGCGGGATGTTGAATGTTGGGCTCATAACAATGAAATTGAACCTGTGCTTATCTAAACTTATTGGGTAGGTACAACCCTTGGAGCGATTTGAGGTCAGAGTTGTCAGGGGAATGTATAAAGCCATTTTTGGTTTTTTTTCCTGCAAATTCTTCTTGGAAACTTTTGCTCAACATGCCATTTTTTCTTTCATTTTGTCTTTCACCTAACAGCTCCTGGGAAATGTGATGGTGATTATTCTGGCTACTCATTTTGGCAAGGAATTCACCCCTGATGTACAGGCTGCCTGGCAGAAGCTAGTGTCTGGAGTTGCCACTGCTCTGGCCCACAAGTACCACTGAGCCTTCTTTCTAGTTTGCCAGTGTCCCTGTGTGTCCCTGACATCCTCCTTCTGCACATGGAGATGGGCTTGTTCTTGAGAGCATAGCTTCTGTTTACTAAAGTACATTCTATTCAATAATAAAAAATTGCAATTTTATCTTCTCCATCATTTCCTCATGTGTTAAAGGAAAAAGGGTTCATGGGCTGAGGAATGGGGAGAGATATAGGAAAAACAAAAGCTTCTTTAAGAAGTGTGTGGGGATTCATCGAAGGAAAGTGGATTTTATGGGAGGATTCTACAGGGTGTTATGGGAGGATGCCAAGATGGGGAAGAAGTTTTATAAGAGTGGGGAAAGGGTTAGCTAAGTGGGCAGGGGCATGTGGGCAGCGTGGCAAAAACTTACTGCACAGGAGAAGGAAGGAGGAGATAAATAGTACCTGAGAAAGCAGATTTGTAGTACATATTAAATTTCATTACAAAAAATGAAGTGTTGTAGGGATCCAAGATCTAGGCTAGGATTACTAGTTTAATTTAATTTTTTTTTAATTTATTATTCCAGGGTTTTGTGAGGGTACAAACATTATAGTTACACTTTATGTCTTTGTCTTACCCAAATGCAGGTTAAAGGCATGCCCTTCCCTCCCTTTAGTGCTCCCTGTGTCCTTTAGTTGTAGATTAATTTTAATTTATTATAATGTACACTTTGAAGCAGTTAGCTTATCATAGATCTTGTGAGATTAGTTTGGAGATAAGAGGATGAGTTGAATAATGGCTGAGATCTTTCCAGAAAAAGTCCCATTGGGTCATTAATAGTCTGCCCTTTCCTGAAGCATTGCATTGTCTTGGTTGGGAGCCAAGACTATGACCCTTGAAATCATTGTTCATTATCTTCTGATAGAGTGTAATATGCACTAAAATAATGTTAGAGTTAGGACATATTGGGAATTTTTTTGAGGGTAGTGATAAAAACTTCATGAAGGACATAAAATACTAACAAAGGCTCATAGTCTAAAACCAGCACACTAGGGCTTGGCAACTTGCATGAAACCAGCTCTCTGGAAGTAGAGGGGAGAGTAAGACATGGGTGGCATGTTAGGAAAGATCAGATAGTGCACGACCCTGACTATAAAGATATAAGATTGTATTATGCTATTGGCAATAGTAAGCAATAACTATTCTTAGGAGATCAAGTGACTCAGGGAATAAGATTTTGGGGAAGACTAATCTGCTTATGAGTACAAAATGAATTCACATTTGTAGAGACTAGATATGGGTGATGATTCAAGGGAACAAATATAATAATTTAAAACTGGGAGGAGCAGTGAGGTCTGCAAAATCGTAAGGATGGATAAATGTAGAGTGAGAAAGACGTGGTATCTTTTTGACTGGGGAGGATGTAAGGGAAGAAGAAGGCAGTGGATAACTGAAAGCTATCATAGCAGAAGGAGGCCATGCACTGACCTGGGGACCCTCATGTACGAGGGGTATTAACTGAACCACTTTTGAGGGAGTGCTGGTTTGCTCAGGGAGTCTTGACCTTCAGATCCTGAGTCTTTCATATCAAGGTTTGAGAACTTTACACCAGGTTAAAGTGCCATATCTTGGCAAATATCACTCTATTAGACATTCCATTCCCCCTACACATTGATTAGAATGTGTCCTGTGAATTGCTTTTTAATTTGGTTTTATAACATCACACACAATAGAGATGAGAGACCAATGATTATTGTAGTTGTAGGCTATCAATAGCACTATTCTCTCTGAGCTCTATAACTTTTCAATATGCTTCTAAACAGAGTAAACAGAGGCTATTTATGGCACTAAGTATTTTCACTCAGTCAACAAATGAAAGAAATGTGCATTATCTGTTGATAAATAATATCCATACACATTTACGGGGCACGTGATATTTTGTTGCATGTACGGAATGTGTAATGTTCAAGTCAATGTATTTAGGGTATTCATCACCTTGAGAATTTATCATTTCTACGTGCTGAGAACATCCCAAGTCTTCACTTCTAGCTATTTTGAAATATACAATACATTGTTGTATACATTAGGGCATATTCTTTCTATCTAACTGAATGTTCGTTCCCATTAACCAACCTTTATTCATTCCCCATCACACCCATTTCTCAGCCACACTCACATTTTTCCCAGGCTCTGATAACCATCATTTTACTCTCCAGTTCCATAAGACCAACTTTATTTAGCTCCCACATATGAGTTAGAACTTGAAATATTTGTTGTTCTAAGTATGGCTTATTTCATGTAACATAATGACCTCTAGTTCCATTCATGTTGCTGCAAAGGCCAAGATTTAATTCTTTTGTGTGGCCAAATAGTGTGGCATTTTGTAAATATGTCACATTTTTTTTATCCATTCATCCATTGATGGACATATGTTGGTTCCATATCTTTACTATTGTGAATAGTGTTGCAATAAATGTAGGGTGTTTGTAGCCCTTTAATATAATGACTTATTTTTCTTTGGGTAGGTATTCAGTAGTAGGATTTCTGGATCACATGGTAGCTTTTTTTTAATTTTTTTTTTTAAGAAATCTCCATATTGTTTTTCATAATGGCTGTACTAATTTGCATTTCCACCAACAATGTGTAAGAGTTCCCTTTTCTCTGCATCCACACCAGCATTTATTAATTTTTGTCTTTCCAATAATAGCCATTCTAACTGGGGTAAGATGATGTCTCCTTGTGGTTTTCATTTGCATTTCCCTGATGATTAGTGATGTTGAACATTCTTTCATATACCTATTGGACATCTGTATGTCTTCTTTTCAGAAATGTCTATCAGATTCTTTATCCAGGTCTAGGCATAGATTTTATGGCTGAGACCCAAAAAGTATTAGCAACAACAAAAACAAAAATAGACAGATCAGCCTATATTAAACTTAAAAAATTTCTGCACAGCAAAGAAATCAACAGAGTAAAGAGACAACCTATTGAAAGGGATAAAATATTTTTAAAACTGTTAATCTGACAAGGAATTTACATCTGGAATATACAAAGAATTTGAACAACTCAATAACAGAGAACAAAACAACAAAAAAACCAAGCAATGTGCATTTTTAATCAATCAGTCTCTTTTTCTTGTTTTTGTCCTAAACTATTATTCTGTATTATTTTGGTTCTTGGTGTCAAGGGCTCAAGGAAGATGATGATGATGGAGTGGTGGACAGACACACTCTTGACCTCTTAGTGAGCTAGATCTAGAACTAGATATTGCCAGCCCAAGACAATTTAACTGAAAACAAATCCATAATGAACACACACATGTACAGTTCTACAGTACAGTGATGTCCCAGCTGTGACAGTGTGTAGACTAATACTCAATGGAAATAACCCCTGCTTCTATGGAGTTGTTTTACAAGCACGCAAGAGGAAGAAAAGGAAGTCTTTCTAATGTTATGTCTTGAAATAAAACTGTCTAAAAAGTGAGCTAGTATTAATCAGATAATTAATTCAACTCCATTACCTACCAAGGAACCTTCTATCCTTGTCTTCACTAAGCATAAGCACTACACCAGAACCCTTGGTCACCAGCCAGCACATACACTGAACCAATGTGGAATGCACATCATCTGGTGCCCAGATGCATGCACTGACATGAAGACAAATACTTTTTCTCAGATGAAACATACATGCTTAATTTCAAACAGGTATAGGTAAGTAAATACTGAGATAAGTGTTCAGTCCTATATTATATTACCTAACACTGATTCCTGCACTGAAAATGTTGCTTTATGAAATTACTTTCCCTCAGAATATTGTGAACTAGAGAGATCATGGCCTAAATCCACAGAGAGTACATTCAAAGATGAGTACAGCACTTCTCACTTGGAAACCACTCCTACTAAATGAGACTTACACTTGTCTCATCAGAGATCCTAGGCTCGTGCCTAAAAAGAATTTCACAATTCCCAAAATTTTTCAATATTTGCCTTGCTTTAGCTTTAATCTACAGGCCTCTCTGGGGCTAGAGACAAGAATGTAGAAAAGGCTGGCAAAGAAGTTCTAGAGTATTCCATGGTGGGCAGGGAAGGAAACTAGCTAAAGGAAAGAATTAATGAGGAAAAAAATTGGGATAACTGAATTGAAACAAGACAAAGACCATAAAAACGTAAGCAGCAGAGTCTTCCTGGGGGCCCCCTCCCCACACTATCTCAATGTAAAGGTCTGTCTGAACCCTTCCCTCTCTAAACCACGCCCAGAGTTGACCAGCCTTGCCTTGACCAATAACCTTGACTGAGTGACCTTGACCAATAGCCTCAGAGCACCATGTGATGCAAGGGGCTAGGGGGTCAGGGATGGAGAAATAAAAGGAAGCCCCTTCTAGCAGTTGCACATACTTGCTTCTGAGATTATCGACAAGCTCCTGATCCTGACACCATGGTTCATTTTACAGCGGAAGAGAAGGCTGTTATCACAAGCCTGTGGGGCAAGGTGAATGTAGAAGAGACTGGAGCAGAAGTCCTGGGAAGGTATGCTCTGGGGGCCAGGACGAGAGAGGGATAGAATGAACCTGTATATGGCAGAAATACAGGCTACTTCTCAGGACTACTGACAACTTCTGGGTTTCTAATTGCTATTGTCCTATCTCATAGACTCCTGGTTGTCTACCCGTGGACCCAGAGGTTCTTTGACAACTTTGGAAACTTGTCCTCTGCCTCTGCTATCATGGGCAATCCTAAGGTCAAGGACCACGGAAAGAAGGTGCTGACTTCCTTGGGAGAAGCTATAAAGAACATGGATGATCTCAAGGGAACCTTTGCCCACCTGAGTGAGCTGCACTGTGACAGGCTGCATGTGGATCCTGAAAACTTTAAGGTAAGTCTAGGAAATGTTAAAGCCCTGTTGCCTTTAATCTTGGCATGGTTTGGATAACTTAGCATTGATCTGAGTATAACTGAGGCCACCTGCAGGGTGTGAGATATTTGGAGATATATTTGTCTGCATTCTGTTGGCTTTGAGAAAAGATTAGGCAAAGATGAGGAAAATGACTGCTAATTAGACTCCTTTAAAAAGAACTTTATGTTTTCTTTTTCTTTTTTTCTTAATTTTTTCATTTTTTTTAACAAACCTTGCTGGAGGCAGAAAAATATGGCCATTGAAAAGATACACGTAGGCAGGTATATATTGGCTCAGTAAAAAGAAGAAACCTAGGTGGCCAAACATATATTGCTAAGGCTATTTCTATATTGGCTGGACATGTATATAAAATGCTGCTAAACTCTCATTTCAAACTTACATCCTAATTCCAGGAGGAGGGCGAAGAGTCTCTGAGGAAGGGAAACAACTGGAACACAGGGTTTGGAAAGAGAGCTGTGAGATTTTTTAAAAAATATTTTTCAGCTCTCAAAATGTGGAGCTGTTGGTGGTAATAAGGTAGAAAGATATAAATCATGGCTAGTGATTAGTCCTGCAAGGGGAAAAAATTACCTGTGTTTAATGGCTAGGCAAAACCTCAGCGTTCACGAGAGGTTGACATAGGCTTGGTTCTGAGTGGGAGTTGGGTGTCCAGATACCTGGAGACCAGCCTGTACCTCTCTACTTACTTTGTCCTCGTCTCTATTGTCTCTTTCTACCTTCACAGCTCCTAGGAAATGAGCTGGTGATTGTCTTGGCAAAGTATTTTGGCAAGGAATTCACCCCGCAGGTGCAGGCTGCCTGGCAGAAGATGGTTGCTGGAGTGGCCATTGCCCTGGCCCATAAGTACCACTGAGCCCTCTGCCCATGGTGCAGAGCCGTCAGGGAGAACTGTCAAGTAATAAATAATAAAACTATTCTGTTATGAAGTCATACATGTTTGTCTTCAGTTCTTCTTTCCCTGTGTTCTTTTAAGTGTATGAGCCTCAAGGGCTTTTATGTTGAGGGGTGTGTGTGTGTGTGTGTGTGTGTGTGTGTGTGTGTGTGTGTGATATGCATGCTATCCATTGTGTTTGCATGAGATGTGAATTTTTATGAGAAAATGAAAGAGCGAGGCAATAAAGAAACAGGCACATAGGAGTTCTGCAAGGGAAAGTAAAAGGTATGGGAGAGTTCTGGTGGGAAGGAGAGCTCTATAGGATGGGACTCCTCAGAAACAGATAATTGAGAGGAGAAGGGCATGACTTCAGGGAAGACCTCAGGGGCTAAATGGAGACAGAGTAGCAAGGCTGGGGTTCAATGGAGCAAAAGTGTTCCAGGCATTAAAAGGTGAAGGTCCAGACAGAGATTGTAATTCTATTCTATTTAGTGCAACACAATTTCTAAGGGCAAATGTCTTTTCACAGCCTTCATGAGGCTAGATTGGGGGTTGATGGTTTTGAAGATCAGAGCAAGGATAGCTCTTTTCCAAAATAACTCCAAAGAACTGTGTCTGGCTTTACTTAGGAACTTTATGTTTTAAGTGTTGATGCATGCCCAGGAAGTTGAATTGGTCCCATACCCTCAGGAGAGACAATGCCCAACTGTGAAGATTGGCTACAGTGTTTCAAGAAAGAGATATCACTGTAAGCTACTGGAGGAGATGAAGATTTAGGTCGGGGAAATGAACCAGCAGAGGCTTAGAAACTTTAGCCATGCCCTCATTAGCCTTGTATGTCTAAGCAACAGAGCAGCACTGTGAGATCAAAAGGAATTGGGAAGAATTTGAGTACATTAGTTGGGAAGGCAGATTCACTGGAATTTTGTGTAATTGGAAGTTAATGCATATTTATAAGCAAGAGTGTGATGTAGCGGCATTATGGCCCGAATGTTTGTCTCTCCCCAAAATACATATGTTGAAACCCAACCCCTCAATGTGACCTTAGTTTTAGGTGAGGTTTTTGGGAAGTAATGAGGTTTAGATGAGCTCATGAAGGTGGAACCCCCATCATGGGATTATTTTCTTTATAATAAGAAGAAGAGATAGCAGAGACCTCTCTTTCTTCCCTCTGAGGACACAGAGAAGAGTCAGGCCTCTGCAAGCCAGGACAGGATCCCTCACTGGGAACCTAATAGACTGAGACCTTAATCTTAGTCTTCCTGGCCTCCAGAAATGTGAGAAAAAAAATTGTTACTCAAGCCATCCAGTCCATGGAATTATATTTTTTTATAGCACCTCTAGCTGACTAAGGCAGATGGAGAAGGAGAAAAATAAACTTGGGTCTTGTGTGGATTAGAAAGCCTACTAATCTCAAGTTTACAAATCTCCACTGGTTTTCCATGTTTTAGAATGAAATATCTACTCTATTACTCTCATTGATAAGACTCAAATAATAAGCCTGGACCCATGTCTCCAAATTTGATTCCTTAGTACATTTTACTCCAGCCTTAGTCTTTATATACAGTGAAATTCCAAGTTGTGTTTTCTTTTTCTTCTTTCTTTCTTTCTTCTGTTTCTCCTCAGCCTCAGAATTTCACATGTGCCCTTCCTGCTTTCTGGAACTTCTTATGCCTACATATCACAGAAGTCCCACTTCAAATGTAACTTCCCTTAGGGTAGCTATCCTGATATTACTTGTCTTCAGTCCCTCACTACCATTTTCACAGTGTGCATTTTCTTCTTGTCATATAATACCATTTGACATTTTCTTACTCATTCGTTTCTTTAAATACATGTGTTGGTCTCCTCTGCTCACTGTAATGTGAGGATCATTAGACCACAGAAGCTGTCTATCTAGTTCATTTAAGATTCCCAGTGTCAAGAAAAGTGGATGGCGTATAGAGCTTAAAGAAATTTTTGTTGAATTAACGTATGAAGAATGAATGGGAAATTTTGATGACTGTGATGATGACTGAGTATTGATATCATAAGGGTCTAGACCACAGTAGAAGCAGTGAATATAGAAAACGCTTGGAAGGGTAGAACACGAACAAGAAAGAACCAGTACTTCTAGGACTGCTACCTATAGCTGGTGAGAGAAAAGCATGAATTAGCAGTAACTGATGGAATCCATCTGTGTGGTTTGCTGGGAAGATGGGCAGCTTTTCACTGACATGCAGGGTTGTAGATGTATGTACTTAAGTATGAGCTGTGGCAATGAACATATATTCTTTTGGGGATCAGTTTTAGGGCCATTAGAGAGTAAGTACCTGAGCTACCTTCTCAGGTTAGTCCCCACAGCTGAATATAAGGATGTTTCCTGGATATTATCAAAGTTGCTACTTCTTTTTCCGCATTTCATGATCTCTGCTCTTAAAGAGAAAATTCTTGGTTTTGCTTCAAACTCGTATCTGTCTTTCACTACAAATCTTCCCTATTTTCCTAAGTAAAACAGATAATAGCCTCCTGACTATATTCAGATTTAAAGATTATTTCTTTAATATCTGAAATCCAGGTCTGATATACTGGGCTGAGCTCTTTGAAATTTATAGTATCCTCTAAGTACCCACAGAGGTGATTTACTAAACTTTATTTCTTGTAATGCTTTATCTCAGGGGAAAACAAACAAATTAGCATCCTGGAGCACTAAGTATGGAGACAATAGGCTAATCTGTAATTGCTTGTTTGAGATGTGTGAGAACAAAGCAACTTAGGTGATCATCAGGTAGAATAATCCAAAACATTTTAGATTCACAGTGGCAGTGGCATGTGGAATACTGTCAGTGAAGACTGCCTCTGCCTGATTAGAAATGAGAAAAAGTTAAACACAGCAACAGAGTGTAGATCCAACATGAGCAAGAGACAAATCACTTAATGCCCAGCCCTTGCCATGGAATCTTCTTTTATTCTCTTCATTGTACACAGTAGCACCCTTCTCCCCCAACACCAAATAAACACCTTTATTCTCTGACACAAATTGGTAGGTACATGGAATATGATGCAGACTATTGTCTACACTCGGAGACACTACGTTTTGCTCAGATAAGTGCAGACTATTAAATAGATTAAAAAACACAAGAATAACACTCAATCTTGCTCTTACTTGGCTAGTTTTTCCTATCCTGCTTCCAAATCAATGCTGGATGGAGGTATTTATTTCTATTCTAAAAAGTGATAAAATTGTGCCCTCAATGCATTCTTAAAAGAATTAGGGACCAAGGAGGACGGTGGCTTCTTCCACATACAGCCTGGATGGATAACAGAGTAATACACTGTCACAACTCCTTGCCCAGGAGTTGATGGCTAAGAGATGTATATTTCTTATTGCTTTTGTTTCTAATTTATTCCTCATTATCAGCCTTCAGGTTATAGTGGGCTAGTGGTGATGGGGACCTTGAGAAATAAATTGCACACTAGATGGTAAAGGGTAATGTAGGAAAAAAAGAGGGGAAAGAAGTGAGTTTTAAAATTTGATCCTGAATGGCAGAGTCCCCCTGAGGGGGGCTACCCTGAGACACAAATATCCATCTCACAAAGCCTGCCTTGCCCAAACTCCACCCTTGGGATCACAACCAACCCTTGAACAGTAGGCTCATTTCGTTAGGAGAGACAAAGGGCTGAGGGCTGGAGATGAAGAACAAAAGGCCACGGAGAGAAGCAGCAGCACAGGTGAGCTTCTGGCTCATCTGTGGTCACCAGTAGACTTGCAGGCCTAATGCCGTGGTGCATTTCACTGCTGAGGCAAAGGCTCTGTTGCTAGCCTGCCAGGCAATGTGAATGTGGAGGAGGCTGGAGGCAAGATCCCGGGCAGGTAGGCACTGGAGGCCAGGGGCAGGGGCAGAAAGGCAGAAAGTGTTCCTGAAAGAGGGGAGAGCCAGTTATACTACATAGTCTGACTTTTCATCTGTTTTGTGACGATTGCCCCATAGGTTCTTGCTTGTTTGTCTACTCATGTTCCCAGAAGTTCTTCGATAATTTTGGGGAATTTGTCCTCTGGTTCTGTGCTGATGGGCAGCCCCAAGGTCAAGTCTTATGGCAAGAAGCAGCTGACCTCTTTGGAAAAGCTGTTTCATGCATGGATGATCTCAAAGGCAACTTTGCTGAGCTGAGCGAGCTGCACTGTGACAAGTTGCACGTGGATCCTGAGAACTTCACAGTGAGTCTGCTAGATGTTCCATTTTTTTCCCTTTCACTTTCTAGTCTTTCACTCTAGTTCTTTACCTACATGTTCTTTCTACACATTCATTTTTACTTTACCATATTTCATCATTTAATGCTTTTCAAATTTTTGTCAATTTTCTTCTTTCAACATTTTGTATTCTTTCCTTTTTCACAATCTTATTTTTTATTGAATTTTTAAATTTAATATCCTATCATTTGCCTGTATCTCTCCCATCCTCCCATTTATTTCTTTTTCTCCAATCACAACTAAAATTATGCATATCAATTCTCATCTGCTAGTTCTACACTTTGAAAAATCCTTCTGTCTCTTCATTTGGGGATAGATTTCGGTCCAACTCAAAGAGGAGAAGCACAGAATGCTGTTTTAGAGGCTATAAATCATTTTTAAAATGAATAATAATTTAAATTTTGTAAA